CCCCAAAACCCCAAAACCCCAAAACCCCAAAACCCCAAGATTAATCGCAGTTATTGAATATTATAAAAATTTTATTAATACAGAGGTAAATGGATCAAAGCTCGTCCCAGCCAGACCTCAAGATGTTGAGGAGGTTTAGTCAGCTTACTAAACTAACAAAACTTCAACCTAATAAATCTCCAAGAAAGAACAATGTCAAAGGTATGAAGTTTATCATGCATAATTTTATTATTCTTAGAACACTTCCAAAATGCTCTTAAGAAACTGAAAGAAGGCAATAGTAGTTATAAGAAGGGGTTTAAGAAGAGGAGTAATACTAAGCCAAGGGATTTACTTTCGTGTAGGATTGGGTTGGTTATGTGTAGCTTTGACAGACAAAATATTTGATGGATCGATCTATAAGTTGAGGTATTGGGTCTTGTGAGCTTTAGTTTTAATGAAGTTATCTTTATTTTGAAATAAAGAGAGTGAAGATAGGCAGAAATTTGAGATAAATGGGATGCAAAGGTAATGTGTGTGCTGTTGATTTATAGATTCTTCAAGGATAATAAATTCTTCAAAGATCTTGAGCTGACTGAAGGAGAGGATACTGTGAAAAAGTGTTTCCAGAGACTGAAATACGCTTGATGTAATACTGTCCAGCAATAATTTTAGACGAGGAAGGAGAGTACATTATGAGACAAGGAGACGATGGGGATAAATACTATATAATCTTGGAAGGAGAAGTTCAAATTTTGATAGTAACATTTGAGTAATCTCTTTAGAATAAGCAAATTACACAGGAGTTCTCATGTATGGAGTTGCTCACCTTGGTAATTCAAAACTATGAGTTCATAATTCAAAATCACGAAAAGCACGAAATTCTGAAAGAGCTCAAATATTACTTCAAGCATTTGATCAAGGTAGATTTGAAAGGCAAACTTTGGTATCATTCGTAGTAATAAATTATTGATAGAATCAAAAATCTTGAAAAAGCACAACGTTATTTGGAGACTAGTGACCGAATAGTGCATTTTACACGCACTAACGCATACGGGATCAAGGAATGCATTAAGAAGCAATTTACCTACACTATTATGAAAGAAGTTTCAAGGATGTCTGATGGAGGCAGCGTTGGAGAATATGCTCTCCTCCATGGAAAGAAGAGATCAGCTACAGTCCGTGCATTAAAATAAAACCCATTTCGCAACAATGGATAAGAATGATTTTGAAGAGGTGATGTATAGCATTAAGAAGAAGGAAATTGACCAAGTTGTGTCCTTCCTTGATGGGTATGAATTCATTAAAAATCTTACATATACAACGAAGGCAAAGCTTGGATATCGACTTAAAAATAAGAGTTATTCTCTTGGACAGGAAGTATTCTATGAAGGTTCCAACGACTCAAACGTTTACTTCATTGAGTCAGGACAATTTGTAATAACCAAAGCTTTGTACATTAGGAAAGATAGCGGCAAGACTATTATTGACTTCAGGAGGGCCTACTCTGGTAAACCTTTCAATGTTCTAAAATCTACATTTAATGAAGAGACAGTATGATTGTTCACTGATAATATTGGTAAAACTGTGCATAATTTTTAGATGATCAACCCTTAAATAAGAACAAAGAGTCAGAGTATTTTGATCTGAAGATATCAATTCGTACTAGTGGGGGAATGTTCGGACTGACTGAAAGATTCTTAGGATGTCCTTACAGAATCATGTCAATAAAGTGAATATCTAAACAAGGTTGTTTGAAATATGTAGATTCAGATTCTCTTTTAGATAGCTGTAAAAGGTATATTGTTCAATATAACTTATCAGCCTTGACTCTTCAATATTTGGAGCAATACTTGCAAAGAAATTTAGCCTTACTTATCAAGGGATACAAAATTTTTGCAAGTGGAAGAAGGCTGAGATCAACCAGAGTTACTATAAAGTCCCCCTTCTATCTCAACTTCAGAGCGAAAAGATGAGGAAAGTTAGAACCTTTTCGGTAACTCAGAACTCATATAAGAAAGAAAAGGAAGAGTCTTACTTCAATAATTTATCTGAAGAGTCTCCTATCAAGACTCAAAGAGTAAGATTTTTCTAACTTTTTATAGAAAAGAAAAGCGACTATCGACAATGATATTTCAAATGGAGATTCAGGATCTCCGAAATCAGACAGGTCTAATTCATATGCTAACGCTAGGAATTCTCCTCGCGAGCAGAAATTTTTTCAAAAGTTTACAATGGCAAGGCTCTGTCTCACTTTGTAGCCTGATGAGTCTAAATTTCAGAAAACTGGAAGAAATTTAGAAAATAGTAAGGTCTCAAACTAATGTATAGGAAGCACTTCAGGGTTCCATAAGAAGAATAATCTTACTATTGTTACAGACAGGGATCTCAAGAGGAAATTTGAACCTAGTAGGAATCTTTAAATTTCAAAACTTAACTCAGAATTTTAGCAATAAGAGTTAGTAAAAAGCAATTTTTTTTGCAATTTAAAGACTGATCTTTAACTTAAAAGTTGCAAATCAGTACGATTATTGCAATTTATTCAGAATATGTCAGAGAGTATCATCCTCAAGTCTTGTTATATTTTTGCATTTATTTATTCCAATTCTTAGAGTCAACTTCAATACCTAAGATAATATCAGAGAAGAGAGACTCATTGATCACGGAAATTAATGTTGACTTTCGAACTAATAAAACAACAACGGAAGAAAATGGTACTCTTGGACTGATTTTTAGAATCTTCTTGTTCTACAATTCAAGATAACCTTGAAAAGGGTGCAACATCAGAATGATCAAAGAGGAAGAACGAAGACTTTCCCTTAGACATTGTCATGGAAAAGAGTGCTAAAATCGAAGAATCCAATGCTTCTGTAGATAGCAAAAATCTTTATACTAAAGCATTGAAAAAGATGTAAAACTTTGTGATATCTTTAGGGCTATCAAAAAGAAAGACCATGAGTCGACTAAATCCCTCTCTGTCCCAGTAATGGCTTTACCAAAAGGAAGGGCTCCTGAAGCCAAACTAAAATGTAGCGAAATTTCCTAAATATATAGCAAAAATAGCAAATTTTATTGAAGGAACTAAGCTAATCCCTCAAAAGGTCAACACAAAGGAACTCATAAAATCCGAAAAATTTCGAAGCGTAAAATGCTGGATTAAAACTATAGCGAATGGGCACACCTATGAGATCATTCAAGATCTCTGATATAAAATCAGAGAAGGAAAGAACCATCCAAAAGAGCTTAATGCACTTGCTCGATAAACCTGGTAAGCTTGCCATTTAAAATCTTCAGTACCACTTTTTAAGAAGAGAGAAGAAAGCGATTCAAAAACCTTCAATGTGATACAACTACGAGTCGATTTTAAGAACAGCATGCAGGATAGCAATGTACAGATCATTCCATATCAAGAGAAAAAGCGTGGCTCATCACGGGTATTTTGGATCGTAATTTCTTCTTAGATTACCACAAGGATGTCACAAAAGGTTCCTGCGGACTTTGACATTATGAAATATCAAAGCATAGAGCTGCCCTCACCTAAGCCTATGAAAGAGCCTAGATTCATGAGAATATCAAAGAGCAAGAGGGAATTTTTGCCCAAAAGGCAGAATAAGTTGCTGCTAAAATAAGTACTTTTGGTTAATAACAATAGACAAATGATATTTAATAAGCAAATGGGAATGAATTCTCCAAGAAGAAATATTAAGACTGTCCAGAATCTGTATAGGTCACCTCAGGCTGGTACCCAAAAGGTTCCTAATTATATAGGAAAAGATGAATTAAAAAGATTTAAGAGCAAAGCAGGCAGGAGTAGAGCCTTGAGGAAGTTTGTGTCCCCAGAAAATCTCAGGAGTAATTTTTAGATATTTTCTAACTTCTTAAATTGAACCTATAGCTGCTAGAAGAAGTTCTTATCGAAAGAAGCTACAGATCTATAGATACAGTAAGTAAACTATTAATACTCTGTAGAGGAATCAACAATGACTCCTTGAATGGGGTCGAGGCTCGAATAAGAGTCCAAACAGCAGGTCATAATTAGGCTTCCATATTTATCAACTTTTCATAATCTTTCAAACTAAAAGTCCGTAAAAGGGGTTTTGGGGTTTTGGGGTTTTGGGG